CCCAACCCAACCCACCCCCCCTCCCCGGAACCATCAACCCTTCACCTCCTTTCGTTTTTCCCTGCTTGGGACGACGCCATGAAGCGCCCAACACTGGAGTCTGGAGACTGGAGACTGGAGGTTGGAGACTTCTCATGACCCTGACCTTGCACGCCGTGACATGGCTGCACTAGGCAGACGTCAGACGTGGTACTTTTCCATTTCCCCCACAAGGTGCCGACGATCACCGTTCACGACTTTTCCCCACTCCTCCTTCTCCTCTTCCTCCTTCTCCTTCTCGTCCTCCTCCTCCTCGTCGTCGTCGTCCTCCTCCTCCTCGTCCTCTTCCTCCTCCTCCTCCTCCTCCTCCTCTTCCTCCTTGACCTTCAAGGTTGGAAAGTCTCTTCTGGGCTTATGCTCTCAGGGTTATTTTTTGGGCTCGAGAAAGGGAATTGAAAGTCTTGGAATTTGTCCTATCGTCATCAAGGCATCTGTTCTCGTGACAGCGTTTGTCGTGTGACTGGTGGGTTCTTTACAGTGGCACGCTGAGGACATGGGTTTGATTGTCGGGAGGGGAAGTTGTTTATCAAGCATCTCCTTCTGTCTGTCTGTCTGTCTGTCTGTCTGTCTGTCTGTCTGTCTGTCTGTCTGTCTGTCTGTCTGTCAGAATATGCATGAGATGGACAAGCACGCATGGGTATGGTTGGCTCTCACAGCACTTGGTATTCTTTTATTATCTCTGTCAAACATGGGGTTGCAGCTAGTAGTTAGCGACTTCATCTAATTTGATCATGGCATTTCTAAAACAGCCACTATTTGCTTAAAAATTGATTGAGAGTTTAAAGAATGGTGTCAAAATTCTCAGGCCTTTCATATGGGACAGGTAAATTTGGCATACTTTGAATGTTTAGTTTCTGATACAATACCTACTTTTACTCCAGACAGGGTTCGGTCAGCCCACCAGCTGAATGACCTAAATTGTGTTGAGGGGGGCGTAAAGCGCTTACATTTTATGATTTCTTGTCGTGTTTCATCACCGTGGTCTTGTGCCCTGATGAAAGTTTTTTTGGGGATGTGAGACTTGGTTTATGGACATTTGCCCGAAGTGTCGTTGGTTGGTTACTATATATAGTTTATGGACACTTGCCCGAAGTGTCGTTGGTTGGTTTCTATATATAGTTTATGGACACTTGCCCAAAGTGTCGTTGGTTGGTTTCTGTGCCCTGCT